TAATAATTTGTTCTATTACATGGTTTAGCTAGCTTAATATATTAGTTAGTTGTGCTAGAATATTTGATAAAATAATTTTTGAACATTTTTTATGTGAGAAAGAAATTAGCAAAATTGAAAATTGTATTGTTATTCATAACCAAAACAGAGAACTCTAAATAGACATAATATATATATAATAGACTCAAATCTATCAAATTTAAATCTAAACCTACAAAATGTAAAACTAAATATATAAAATATCTCTGACTTGCCCGTCGAATCTGGTTTGGAGGGTATTAGGTTCGGCCGGGGATTTACCCAATGCAAACTTTCGGGTAGCGACTTCGGATTTTTACGTCATAAATATATATATATATAATATCTCAATATTTTATTTTATTTGTAAAATAGTTGGATTCTTTGGTGTATATAATTTTTAAAAATTTATTATTACTTATTAAAGATTATGAAATTTTTATCAAAATATTTGTTTTCGCTTTAAAAAAAAAAAAAAAAAAAAAAAGTGGATATGGGATCCACTTTTAATTTTATTTATTTATATTTCTCACCCATTTCTTTTTTTTTCATGATTTTTTTTTTTATTTCTACATTTGTGTATTTATTAGATATTTATTTGATTTTTTTATGTAGAACTTTGAATATTAGTAATATAATATTCATATGCAATTAAAATAAAAAAATAAAATAAAAATATTGTTATTAGTGTTATATAATATAAATATAATGATATTTGTATACAATATTATGCAAATGTAAAATATTTTTAATTTTAAGTAAAATTAAATAAAAAACAAATAAATATATTGATGAATAAAATAGGTAATATTCGGCTACTATAATACTATTAATAATATTTTTTATAATTTTTATTTTAAATATAATTATCTATTATCATACATCACATCAAATCTCTCTCATTTTATCAAAAGTTACATGCAAATATATTATAAAAACTAACACCTAAAAATTTTCCAAATTAAACTAAGATAACACAAGTAAATACACCATTTATAATTTGGATTTTAAAATGAAATTAACATTGTTCAATTTGTTTATGACAAAATATTATATAAAAGTATTAATTAAACTAAAAGTTAAATTAAAACTCTAATTCAAATAAAAACCAAATAAATACTAAAATTTATTGAGAATGAAATTATAAGAACAATAAGAATAAAATTTGAATCTTTTCCTAAAAACATAAATAAATATAAAAAAAATATTTATAAAAATTCGAGTAGACATCACTAATATTATATAAAAATCCGAAAATTATGTAATTATATTAGAATTTTAAAAAACAACAAATAAAGTATAATAGTAACAACAAGTTAATGAAATTTGATATTGACTTCGTCCGAACATCTTAAATTTGTTATCGACACAATTTTCAACTAAATTATAATTTTTAAATTATTTATAAAAATATGAGTAGACATTACTAATACTATAGATCAATATATATGTAGTTAAATTATTCATTTTGCTCGAATTCAAAGTACAATTTTTACCGTTTTTTGTTTGTCTCATTTTAAAGTATTCATTTTCTATTTTAATAAAAATTTCATACATTAATACGAAAATACTTTTAACTTTTAATTAAATTAAAAATATATTATTACGCGTACAATTACTTTATATAAAAAGTCAACGGAACAAAAACGTCAAAAACCTTTTATATACTTTGACTGACCAATATAATATTATTATTTTTTAATTTACTACAGAATTCCCAAAAAATACATTCGAGTAAGACCGAGGGAGTACAATTTAAAAGAATAAATTAAAATGACAATTACATATATAAAATTTGATTTTGACTTTGTTCATACATACAATTTCTTACTAAATTACAACTAAATATTTTTTTATATAAAAATATGAATAGATAGCGCTAATATTATACTTTTGTTAGTAAAAAAAAGTTATTATTGCTTAATTTAGTACTCTTTTCGTCTCACTTAATTTGTTCACTCTTTAATTCTATTTTCGTCCGTCTTGCATAATTTGTATCTTTTTTGACATATAATTATACACTTTTAATCACATTTTAAAATTTATAATTTATAATTTTTTTGTTTTAATAAGTATATAGTCATCTTAAATATTAATTTATAATTATTTTTATTAAATTAGAATTATTTTTACTAATATACTTTTAAATTACTTAGTAATTATATAATACCTAAAACTTTATGCCTAAACTAAATATGACAAATTAGCTATGACGAAGAGAGTAATTGTACTACCTACCTAACATACTAAGTACTCTTCTAACTTACAATATTCTTCATTTACTTTAAATTTTAACTAAATTTTAAAAAATATCCAAACTAATCATTTTTTAATAAAATATTTATTTTTTAATCTCCGTGCCAAACCCAAATAGGCTAATTTTAATGAACGAATATATTATTATCTTTTTAAAATCACAATCGAAAAATAGTGCTAGGTGAACAGAGCGAATATTTTGATTATATGGAAATTACTAATTTTTTTAAATGTAACACGAGTTCCACATTTTTATTTTTTATTTTTAAATATGAGAATATGCAATTGCTGCTCGTCAAGTGTATTCTGAGTAATGAATGGCGATAAGAAAACAAATAAATCATATGATATTACACATCTTGGTTGTGCATAATTTCTTTCTATATATACTTAGTTATATATCCGTATTCACTATAGATTTATGTAAAATCATATTATTTTACTCTTTATATCGTAATTTATTTAATTTTTCATATAACTAATATAATATTTATTTTAAATGTTCAATGATATTTTAAGACTCACTTTGTTAGGAGTATTCATGTCATTTTTTACAATGTTTTAATATCAATGTAAAAAAAAATGTAAATATTATAAAAAAATTATTAAAAATAGTTAAATAAGTCAAAAATTTAGTAACAAATCAATTATTATTCCTTATAGATAATAATTTTCTTATGACATGAGATTTCGCACCTGTTTTTTTAGTGTGTACCAAATAAATCTCTTATTGAACTTAAATTTGATATAATAAAATTATTTACTAAAAATAAATAATATATATTTAACATAGTAAAAGAAAAAAAATTATATAATTGTCCCCAATGGAGTATTAATATATATATATTAATTTAATTAATATAGTACTCCCTCTGTCCCACATAATTTGTCTCTATTTTTTATTTTCGTTCGCCCCACGTAACTTGTCCTTTCTATTTTTGAAAATATAATTATGCACTTTAATCGCATTTTAAATTTTAAATTTTATAATTTTCTTAATTTTAATTAAACTATTTACTTACCTTAATCTTAATCTATAATTATTTTTACTAAATAATAATTATTTATACTAATACACTTCTTAATTACTTACTAATTATACTTTACCTAAATTCTCGTGTCTACAGTAATACGCCCATATTACATGGGACGGAGGGAGTAGTATTTTTTTTAACATATTCTTTTTTATATATACATATATAAAACTATTAAACGAATCCGTGCTATATGCAGGGTTACATAATACTCCCTTCGTCCTAGGTAATTTGGGCGTGTTACCGTATATACGAGAATTTAGGTAAAATATAATTAGTAAGTAATTAGGAAGTGTATTAGTAAAAATAATTATAGATTAAGATTAAGATAATTAAATACTTTAATTTAGATTAAAAAATCATAAAATATAAAGTTTAAAATGTAATTAAAGTGTATAATTATATTTCCAAAAAAGGAAATGACAAGTTATGTAGGATAGACGAAAATATAAAGTAACGACAAATGGACGGAGAGAGTATATGATCTTTTTATAGCTTAAAATGACTGGTTTAATGGATAGTTCATATATAATAAAAAAAAAAAAAAATTTACTTAAATTCAAAGTATTTTTTTATTATTTTTGTTTATCTTACTTAAGAATATTAATTTTATATTAATAAAAATAATAATTTTATTTAAATTATAAATATACAATTACTTTATATATAAAATCAAAAAATAAAAATATTAAATCATCTTACTCCTGTGACCACTAAAATAACTTTATATTTTTAAAATGAGACGGAGAAAGTTTTTATTTATAATTATATTATTCTTATTTTAACGTATAACAATAGTTTTGTCACTATATTTTTTATTTACTTTATTACTTTTTTTTATTAATTGTTTAATAAACTTTTATCTGTACTCTTATTTTATTTTTAATTTACATCACTTGTACATTAAAAATAATAATTTATTTGTGCTAAAAAAATAGCATAATTTTATCAGACAAATAAAACCTTAAAAATTATTTGATATCATCTTATAGACAAATAAATTAAATTTAATTTTATTTGTTATTTAAAATTAATATGAAATTGGATGCATTTATACATTGATTTTCTTTAACATTTTATTAAAAAAATATTTGTGTTTTTAAGATAATTGCTAGTATTATAATTATAATTTTATTTAAATTTTATTGCATATAATTTTCACCATATAATTGAATTTATTATAAATCAAATTGAAAGCACGGTGCTTACCTACACTATAATCTTTTTTTTTTTTTTTTATCAAAAATATCAAATTATATATTTATTTTTCAACACATTATTTTTTTTTAGTTAAAATATTATATTAAATAATTATTTGAATTAAAAACTTTAGTATAATCAATATTTAACCATTAATGTAGTAATATATACATAGTGGTAGGGCTCCTATATTTCTTTTTTTAAAAAATTCAAAAAAGAAGAGAAAACTCTCTTGGTATGGACCCTATTGTAAGTGGGTTTTTATTTTATTAGATACTTTTTAAGTTGTGGGCAACATAACAATTTTTGAAAAAATAAATAAGAAATCATATATAATTTCAATAATTGTTATCAACTCGATTATTATTTGTTACATCAAAAACCAAAAAATTGAAGATAAGTAAACTAATTTTCTATTATAACTAAATTATACATATATAAATTATCTCCCAACAAAAAATAAAATAAAATTTCGAAAGAACAACTAATAAATTCGACCAAAAACCAGTCGGACTTTTATTTGCATATCGTACAACATAATAGAACAGACTTAAGCTTACAAACAGCAATAACCAAAGCTACCAAAGCATTTCTCTACGGCGATTGAAAAACAATCGCCGGATCAACCCTCGGAACGACGCAACACAAAAGATCTTTAGCCCTCGGCAACGTCAATCCCGGCCGCTCCGACATGTCGACGGGTCCCGACTCGCCGTTCGGCAATTTCCAATCGAAACATTGGATCATATTCCCGATTATACTGATCAACTCTGGAATAGCCATAACCATGCCGGGACAACCTCTCCGGCCCGTGCCAAACGGCAACAACTCAAAATGTTGTCCTTTGATGTCGATCGAGTCATTCCCGTTTTCCAAGAAACGTTCGGGCCTAAACGTCAACGGGTTTTCCCAATACTTGGGGTTACGGCCGATCGACCAAATGTTGACGAATAGTACACTATTGGCGGCGATTTTGTATCCGTGGATTACGATATCGTCGACGGATTTTCTAGGGAGAAGCGGGATTGGAGGGTGGAGTCGAAGCGTTTCTTTAATGATCGCTTGGAGGTAGGGAAGATTCGGCGCGTCTAACTCATTTACCAACCGGCCTCGGCCGATAACACGGCCGATTTCTTCTTGGGCTTTCTTGAGTATTTTGGAGTCGTTTATGAGCTCTGCGATTGCCCATTCGCTTGTGAGCGCTGTCGTATCTGTCGCCGCCGTTAAGAAATCCTACAATTGTTTTTTTTAGAACATTCAAATTTATAGAAAATGTTAGCATCATAGTTTATGAAATAAATATGAAGATTGGGGTTTGTTCACCAAATTTTTTATTATTATTTTTTTCTGTATGTGATACGATTGTTTATAAACATTATAAAAATTTAATATATATTTTATTCAATGAAAAAATTCAATAATTTAATACAAAATATTATTTGTTATATTATCGACATAATTTTTTATTTCTAAAATAAGAAATACATTCAATTTGTGGAATAGTTGTTGAGCATTCAAAATTTTGAGTCACTTAGTGACGATGACTTAAGAAATGTGATATAAGCAGATGTTAAATATAATTAATATTTTATTTTTTTAAAAAAATAAAATTTCTGTTAAAATATTTATTAAAAAATAAATTATTATTAATAATTTATTAATTTATACGCTTAGTTCCTACCCAAAAGAATCATTTGACTCTATAGAGGAACAGAGGGAGTATATATATTTTCATCCTTTTCAACTCAATTATCCTTTTTAACCTTTTTTTTTTTAATAAAAAAAGAAAAAAATACACACCTTTTTAAAAATCTTGCCCAAATTAAATAAACATCTTTTTACACGTTAGAGGGACTAATATATATACAACAGGCAATTATTTTAACAAATATATATATATATATATTTTATTGCATCGTATTAACCGACACTAATCAACCGTGTTAAATAACGTGACACTCTAACCGGTCCCATAAACAATTATTGAGGAATATTAAAATAAATAAGGGTGTGTTTGTTTGGGGTATTGGATTTTGAGTTAGGATTTGAATAGTAAAAATTTTGAATTTGAATAGTTGTATGATGTGATATAAATAGAGTTTGATGTGATGTTTTGAATGTAAAATTGATTTTTAGTATAATATAAAAAATGAAAAATAGGTGTTTGATTTGATGTTTTTGGGGGAAAAAAATTGGATGAACAGTGGAAATCCACCAAAATCCTTCAAACAAACATTATTGAGGAATATTAAAATAAATAAATGCATAAATAAACAAAATCGTATAGAGATTCACAAATTTGTATAAATAGCTTTGTTTAGACAGATATTTCTGGAGAAGTTTTTATTATTTAGATTTTTAATATTAAAATTTTTTTATTAAAAAATATCATATCAAATAATTAATTTTTTTATATTATAAATTTATTTTTCATTCAAAATATTATATTAATTTTTATTTATATCACATTAAATAACGGTTCAAATTCAAATTTTTATTAGTAAAAAATTAAAAAATTGAATTTGAGCAATGTCTACGAGTGAAAATGTATAATGTAACAAAATTCTTAATTTGAAATCGAATTTCTTACCATAACCAAAGCTTTGAGATGATCTCTAGTGAATTCCACTTCACATTTCCCATCTCTTACATCCAACAACATGTCCAAAAAGTCCCTCGGCTCCCCGCCGGGGGCGCCGCCGCCGGCCCGGCGCTCGTCCTCCCGGCTGGAAATAATCCTCTCGAGAAGAATATCGTACCGCCGCCATATATCCTCGGAGCGCCGCCGGATCCCCTGCAAATCGAAACCCTTCAAGAACCAGAACATATCCGAAACATTAAACTCCCCAAAAATCTGGCTGACTTCCCGGACCAAGGTCCGGAGCTCCTCGGCGTCGCCGTCGTCCTCCGCCGCCCGGAGGCTGAGCATCATGCTGGAAATAACGTTGCTGGTGACCTTCATAAGCTCGTCGGTGACGTTGACGACGGCGGCGCCGGCCCTGCCCTTTTTCGTCAGCTGCTGGACGAAGGCCCGGACTTCGAGGTCCCGGACCGGCTGAAAATGGGCGATGTTGCGGGTCCCGAGGAGCTCGTACATACAGAGCTTGTTGATGTACTTCCAGTAAGTCTCGTACGGCGAGAAGGCGAAGGATTTGTCGTAGGTTATGACCTTGATGGCGGTGGACCGTTTCCGGTTCGAGAAATTGAGTTCGTGGGTTTTGAGGAAGTCCCGGGCCAGGTCGGGAGTAGAAACGACGGGGCAGGACTCGGACCCGAGGTACAGCTGCATAAGGGGGCCGTATTTGAGGGAGAGGTCGTGGAAGGTTTGGTGGAGGCGGGGGCTGAGGAGGTGGAGGTGACCGATTACCGGGAGGGCCAGTGGGCCCGGAGGAGGTGGCGGACCGTGGCGGCGGCGGCGGGAGAGGAGGAGGAAGACGGCGGCGGAGAGGAGGAGGAGAGCGGTGTAGGGGAGGGATGGGATCTGGCGGAGGAGGTCCATTGCGCGGGGGGGGGGTGTTTTGGGGGATTGGGGTTTGTGTGGAAGTACGAAGGGGTGTAGGGGCGGTTTATATAATAGAAAGTGTGGGCGTGTTTGGTTGGGATTTGGATCCGTTGGATTTTGTGATTTGACTTTTACTCTTTCTATCAGGAGGAATGTGTTATTGTAAGGTTATATTTAGTATTGATAATTTAATATTAATTATTAATCTCCTCCTCTAATATATCTATCTATTTATTCTTTTGTCTAATTAGTATTATATTGAGTTATAGTATAAATAAAATAAAAAAATTAATAATTTTATTAGTATTATCTAATATGCATTCTGTCTCATATTTATATATCTATCTACTTTTTGCACAGAATTTTAATAATATTATTATTGGGATATAATATAAATAAAAATAAAAGGATTAAAATAATCTTAATAATATTGTATGATATAAAGGTCATACCTAAATGCATAAAATATTAATATTGTATGTATTTTTAATGTTAGATAGATAATACAGTTAAAAAAAAGAAATGAATACTTTGTTAAAAGATAAATCAAAATAGAAAAAAATGGATAAATTGTTAGGGGACGGATGGAGTATTAATTACTACCTCGGTCCGGCTTTAAAACTCTTATTTCCTTTGTGCGTGTTGATTTTTTAATATTAATTATTATATTAAAACGTAATACAAATTAAAAAAAAAATTATGAAAATATTTCCATTAGTGTCTTATAATAGTAAATAATGACATTTGTACGAAAATTTATACAAAGATAAATATATTTTTAATATTAAATACAATAATACAAAAAATAAATATAACCTTGAAGGTAAAGGTAAATATTTACAAATATTTTTTAAATAATCCTTTTTTCCAAAGATGTTGTGAACAAATACTTGATTTTTTTTTTATCCGTTAAATTTATTTTTAATTTATTTATTTTTTAATGAGATACATCTCTTTACTGATTTTAACAAAGATTAAAATTTCAACATTGAGCTATTGAATTTTATTAAATCAAATTAAACATATATTTTATTATTTTTTTATAATTTATCAAAATTAATTTTGCTTTTAAAATATTAAATAAATATCTATTTATATAACATTAAGGATTTATTCATTTAATATTTTTAATGGAGTGATTTTTCATAAGTATTATTTAAAAATATAATATACACATATTAGGACAATATATACATCTTATCCATTAAGGTGTGGCTTTTTTTATAAAAATATATATATATACTTTTAAAATTTTTATATTATATATTTTTATTATTTTTATATTATTTATACAATTTTTTATACTGTACCTAATATAAAAAAAATAAAAAAATAAAAAATCAAACTATTTCACAAAATAAATATACCAAACACACCAATAGTTAAGAAAGAAAATTTCGTTTGTGTTCTTCTAATTTGAAAATGAATATTTTATATTTATTTTTTTCTTAAAAAAAAAAAATTAATGAAAAACACACACCCGTGGTTTTACCCGACAAAGAAAGTATATTTATTTTATATGAACCTTAAAACTTTTTTTTAGAATAGTTTAATTTATTTATATGATTATTATATATATATTAAATAATTGAAGAAAATGACAAAAACAAATTGGTCCTCTTAGTTTTGTGTTTTTCTATTCATAATATATATATTTTAAAATTTATATTAAAAATTTATTTTATAACATATTTTTGATACGGCATTAAAAATTAATTTTATATTAATATCATTTTATATTATATCAAGCAAATACTCTCTTCAAACTCAATGTATTTTCACTATTTTGTTAGTCGAACTCAAAATATTCATTTCTATAATAAAAAGTAACTAATAAATAAAACAAAAAAAGATTAATAATAAAAATACTATTTCTTTCGTCACATAACTAAGTATCCATTTACTTTTACACGTAATTTTAAAAATATTAGTATTATATTAAGATATATTAGAAATAAAATAAAAATGACTAAAATAACCTTATTAGTATTGTGTGATATAAAAGTATTTGCATTTGTCTAATATATTGTAAATTGCAAAGGTATTTGTAATGTTAGGTAGACAGTACAATTACTAAAAAACGAAATGAATACTTTGTTATAAAACGGACTAAAATAGATAGTTTGTTATGGGACGGAGGAAGTACTACTCCCTCCGTCGCGGTCTAAAGGGGTTCATTGGGATTTTGTATTAGATTAAGAAATAATAGTATGTTATTAATTAGTTGAAGTTTGTAAGAAGTTTTTGACAATTTTTGTCATTTAATTTTATATAAAAAGTAATTTTATGTGTAATAGTATATTTGTAATTTGAATAAAAGTAAGTATTTTGATATTGAGGTATAATTACTTTTACTAAAATAGAAAAAAAAATACTTTGAGTAGAACATATAAAAAATAGTACTTTGAATTTAGACAGAAGAAGTATTATTTTTCTATCTACTATAATAAAACTAAATAAATATGTTGAAATGGAAAATATATATATATATATATACAACTCCCTATATCTCATGTTATTTGTATACTATTTTTATTTTTATCTTTTCCACTTTATTTGTCTTTTTAAAAATAAATAATTATATATTTTAAATTTCACAGTCAATAAATTTTTAAATTTCAAATAAATTAATTAATTATTTTTATTTTAATATATAATTAATTGTATTATATAATAATATTTTTATTTATATACTTTCGCCTTAGGGTTCTCCAATTTATACCACACATTCATTTGCACACGTTACACAAATGGTTTTGTTACTTTAAATTTAAAGATTTGTCTGGTTTTTATTTGAAAAGTTTGATTTTTATTTAAATTTTAACTTAAATATATTATTATTTTATTTTTGAGATTAAAAACTAACACAAGTATTTGAATTTTTTATTTAATAAATAACTCAAATGGATATTATTTTTAAATTTATTATAAATACTTTGTTTGAGACTGAACGAATATACATGTAAGATTAAAAGAAAAAAATTAAATATTTTCTCATCTTAATTAAAATTGTTAACTATAGATATTTTTTTTTATGAGAAGAATTACAGTGCTGATTTTTCACATCAGTACATGTTATGTATACAAATAACATACATTAGTATTACATACAAGACACGTTGTGTATAATAAAGGTATGTGTTGTTTTTTAGTAATAATAAGTGTGTTGTATACAAATATGTCAAATGTTAACATCAACTGTTGTGTGTGATGTACGAGACTATAACATGTGACGTTAATTCATGTATTGTATTTGTATTATATTAATATATAATGTGTTGTATGTAGTAACACTGTGTGCTGTTTGTAGCAATATTGTGTCTTCTTGAGACTATAACATGTGTGTTTTATTTATGTATTGTATTTGTATAATATTAACATATACAGTATGTTGTTTATAATAATATTATGTAATGTCTAATAGCAGACGATGTGTTGTTCAACAAAGTGCTGAATTTAAAATCCATAACTGTAGCCACCGCTCTCTTTTATATACTCCTATTTTTGGCAATAATATAACTTCACAATTTTTTCAAATTCTAATATACTATTAAAGTCTATTTTGTTCGCCAAGTAAACACAGCCTACTAACCTATGTTTTTCCAAATGCATCTAATCTCCCAATTTCAAGATTTTGGCTATAATTTTTAATTTTTTAATTTCCGTAGATTAATACTCCCTTCGTCCCAATAGAAGGGTGTCATTTTTTTTGCACATATATTTTTGAATAGTAGTATGAAATTGAATTGTAATTAAAAAAAGACAAAAATACCCATATTAGTATAGTGTAATATAAAAGTAATGGTATTTGTGTATGTAATACAATTACTAAATTAAAAAATAGTAACTTTGTTTTGGGACAAAGAAAAATAAAAAGTGATAACCTTTCAATGGGACGGAGGACTCATTAAAACTCTAGCCATTGCCGTTGTTGTTTTGCGTCATCCGCTGCGATCCAATCAATAACGCCGCCACCATTGGACTGCCGTTGTCGGCCGCCCCCAAAAATTTCGCCACCATCCGCCGCTAACACAAATCACGGCAGTAATCATTTTTCCGCCGTTGTCTTCTCCCTGTACGTGACGGCACATCCAGCCATCTCCGGGTGTCGTTTTCCGGCTGCAACCTCTCCTGCTTTAGATCCCAATGTCCTGGTGTGGTTGATTTTTTCATCCGAGTTATTTTATCTGGTTGTCGTTGCCGGTCTTCCGATTTTGATTTTTCATCCGAATTTGGCCTTTGATCGTTTACCATAGTTCAATACAAAGTGCTACTTCCGATTGCGTTGAGAATCCGTTTATTTTCCAAACTCCGGTGAGAGTTCCGTGTTTACGACTTCAGTGAAAGTCCTGTCATTTTCTTTTATTTCGGTGAGAGTTCCATGTTTTTCAGTTTCTATTTTTCCAGTCCGGTGAAGAGGGACGGAACTAGACTAGACTCTCAAACCCAAGTTTTTATAATTTTTTTAGTGTTAAAAATATTAACTTTTATATATTATTTTATATTTAAATTTATTACTTAAATATTAAATAAATTATAACATTTTACCCCCGGTAATTTAAATGCTAATTTTGTCACTACCGGTGAGAGTTCTGTGTTTTCAGTTTTGTATTTTCAGGCTCTACCAAGAGTTTCATATTTCCAAATCTAATTCAATTTTTACACAAATTATAAATATGTAATTACGCATACAATTAATTTATACATGAAATATAAATAATAAAAATCTTAAATTATCTTATATATTTTGATTCACTAATAAAATATTATTACTTCTGTCTCAGCTAATTTGTCCATTTTACCAGAGTTTTAGGTACTGTGTAATTAGTAAGTAATTAAAAAATATATTAGTAAAAATAATTATAATTTAATAAAAATAATTATAGATTAAGATTAATATGACTAAATAATTTAATTAATGTAAAAAAATTATAAAGTATAAAATTTAAAATATGACCTACGTATATAATTATATTTTCAAAAAATAAATAAATAAATTATGTGAAATAAATAAAA